CGAGTCTTTCAGCGCGCTCAGCATTAGCGTTCGCGTCACCTGGATTGACCCAGAAATCAAGACCAGCCAGCCACGTGACCTCTTCACCTGAAACTTTGATGCGAAATTCCACGCCTCCAGCCTCACAAAATTCAGTGTAATTGGTAAAAGTACTATTTGTTAGCGGATTTTGAATAGACGTGATGCCATTAATCAGGAAAACCTAGGGTTTCAAATATTGGCGGCTCTGCCACTACTAAAACAATTAAACACAATTTCAATTTTAACTAAAGTATTAGTTTACCTTGGTAAAGAGTTTTCGCGGATTTCGATCCGCGACCCTCGTACTAGTATCTGGAAAGAACGTAAGGTGGGTGACCTTAGCCCTTTCTTTCAAGCAAAGCGCCACGGCAGGCCCGCTGCATCCTGTGTTAAGCTCGACGCCCCGCGTCGTGCGGACATCATACAGCTTTAACGTTTACTCACTATAGAGGTTATAAGTCTCGTTGAATCGGCATCGTCCAGTGTCCCAACTACCTGATACATCGGAGTCTCGATGTTACTAACAAAATTCGACAAAGAGCTGCGACTTCCGCAGTCTTTGTCCAGTGGATAACGTCCCATTCCACACCCATCAGATAAACCTTGCCCAGGATGCCTTGGATCTCGTCCGACCATGCCTCTCTTCGCATGCAGCACCTGCTGCGTAACGTGAGCAGTGCTCAATGGATTATGTGCCACTCCACGTGCATCACAAGGTCCTCGCTCTTGATGCTTCAGTCCTTGGACGACCATGCCAATCTTAGCATGCAGCGACAGCTCAAACTTGCGCAGCGCTAAGTGGGTCACGTGCCGCTCTACTTTCAGCCCGCGAGACACGCTCGGGACTCCTGTCCAAAACACCATTGGTGTTTAACAACTCGGATACTCCGATATCCAGCACATTGACCGTCCCGGTCTAGTGCCTGTGCCAATGGCGCTTCTGCTTCCTAGCAGAGGTGAGTTCATGACGCACCAAAGCTTCACAAGGAGACGTGCGCATAGCGCCCAAAGTCTTCGACCTCCATGGATCATGGTGTTCCAACCATGCCATACCAAAAATAAGGTCATACCTTGCATCCAAGTCTAAGACGAGGTAGCGCTCCACGCTATCAAAGTCAAGGAGCTTTACACCGAGGTATACAGGAACCCTCGCACAGTGACACAAGTCCCTGTCGCAAAGCGAACAATGACGGTGTCACTCAACCACGCTTTCAGCGCCTCTGCATACAGCCGACTTCCTTCGATCGTGAAGCGTCGAAAATTATTGCTTGACGTCCCGGAATCGATAAGGATCTTCCATGGTTTCACACAGCCACTTCACTGTCCTTCCACGACCAGCAAACCCAGCTTGCATACACTTTTCGTGTCCAAGAGCAACGAGCGCTCTTCGGGCTGGGCCCTGTTACCCTCTACCTCTTTGAGGCTCAACAGATATCAGTGCTCCTCCAGTAGGGCGCTCCGCGCCTACTTGGTGTTCTCGTTTTTTCGCGTCAAACCAGACTAGTTAGAAGTGGGAAGTCGGTTTGACGAATCATTACGCGCTTGCGCAAGAAACAACCTACCCGAATGTGACGGGTCTCTCCATAGTTGGTGTTTACACGCTGCTGAGTAGCTTGAAGATTTCTCTCCTCCTTCTTAGCATAGCCGGGATCGATTGGCTCAGGCCCGCTCGACGAGCTCTGAGGGTGTGTTGCGCTGACTCAAAATTGAATTCGACATTCAATGCCACATTCACCGCTTCTTCAAAAGAAGACGGATGCACACGGATGGCTTCCATTCTGGCCACGCCAGTTCGGAGGCCCTCCATAAAGACGATCTCTGCGACCGCCTCGGGAGAAGATTTGCTGTCATCCTGGCAATGAGACTTCTCAACCCTTGGACAAAGTCCTCCACCTCCTTCTTGACCAATCGGACAGCAATGATACGCGATCGCACGCGATATGACTGAATAGGCGGCGAGAACACTCGCAAAAGTTGACGCTACAGCTCCTTCCAGGAGAGGAACGCAGCTTCGATCGAATCACCGCACGTTAGTGACCATTCTCGTTCTCGGTTTCCGGGCTCAGAGACAACTAGCGCCATGCGCTATTGCTCGTTTTAGGGCATGTCGGATGTCATAGCCATATCTGCCTCTCTTTTCCAGAGCAGGAGATTCTCTCCCATCTTTAATGTTGAAGGTCTTAACGCTCACTTCGAGCGGCCTGGGTCGGAAGGAATCATCTGTCGTCGACGGTGGCGTCATAGACTCTGTCGACGCTGACAGCTTCTGCTGTAAGTGTTCTAACAGAACATTTTCGTGATTTGAAAACGCCTCTCTTGGCGTGCTTTTTCTCGGGCCTTTGCGCAACGAGGTGCTCCACGCCGTTATGGCCCAGCAGAGATATCAGCTTATTAAGCCCATCCTGCATGCCCTGGGGGCAAATAGGAGTATTCCTCCACCCTCACAGAGGATCAGTCGTAACGACTCATGCGTAGATTGACTACGAGTGCTACCAAGTGCAGCGGGGCTGCCGTAGTTCCTTGCTTGGAGGAAGCTAAGCTAAGGTCATCTAACACACGTTCTTTTCAAAAACCAGTGCGGGGGTAGCGAATTGCGATCCGCTACATCCAAGTAATAAAAATGCAAACGAACACTTATGTTCAAAATCAAAACTGAATCTATTTGCTTTAGTTGCGGCAGAGTCGCCAATATCTAAACCCCTGTGTAGTCAAAGCTTTCAGATACGTCACAAAGCTACTAATGTTTAGAGGCTCTATTATCGTGATGCTTCGAGATGTCGATGGCCGCACAGACATGCAAAAAAGCAGCGTCTACAATGAAAA